ATCCGGTTTGTACCTAAATTATGGATATCGTTAAAGACCTTATTGTGATACTTCTAATAGCACCCAGCAACACCCTAACTGTGCATAATGCATAGGATTGCGGTGCAATGATAGAGGTCAAAACTGCATGCACTTATGCAGTGAGTGAATCATGTATCATCACTCGCGATTCTCGAGCTGTGATGTTCGATATGAAGTACAATATCGCACGTGTACATTTGGTTTATCTGAGACAGATGGTCTCAGTAAAATTTGTTCAAGGAGAAGCTGAAGGCAGAAGATAGGCCTCAATAGGTGCATACACCGGTTACCTGCATCGCCGTCTAGACAGATTCATCTCGATCTTTCCGAAGATCTAAAAGCATAGTCCTGCCCGACAGGTGCCTCCTCTGGGTTCTAGAAGGTAGCAAAGCGTAGATCATTTATATTCTTTAATAAAAATAACTTGCTACACACTCTCGCTGTAAATGCGTAAATAACTGTAACGTACAATTGCGTTGGAAATTAAGCTGAGCTCTTCTTGGTGGTCCGGTTTGGGGCAATTGACTTTAATATGCCCAACCCAGCCCGACTAGCCCTTCCATATCATGACATATTATGCCATATGATATATCTGATCCTGTAATTTATCCTCAGTCACTTCCAGCGGTATTCAGACAAATACGGGGAAAAAGCAGCTTGTATTGTGTCTCCTTTTATGCTAGGAGTTTGATGTAAGTATTGATTGCTTTGAAATTCATATCTTTATGCATTTAACGGCCGTAGGCTAGCCTACGACCAATGGTCCGATCAAACCTGAGTGATCTCCGCAAGTTAGGCCTATAGGTGGTCCGCCACGGTCCTTTGACATTTTGATACTGATACGTATCATATCCTGCGAATTATCGTTATCTAGCGCTACTCCAGTTATTCCATAGTCTTTTGTTAAAATTCTCATGCGCGGTGCCCTCCTAAAATGGCTAAGCAAGACACTTCGATCTTCACTCTTTGCTCAACCCCGTTCATTCCATGAAGTAACCAATCAATCAATCAACCCCGTTCATTCCTGCATAAAGTAGGAAAGGCGAGCGTTCGGTCCTTTTTCAAAACAAACACCCACATGATCCCTGGCCTCGGAATTTTTATCGTGAGTCCGTTTATTACAGTCTTTCTAGGTCATGGTGTTCTCAGACACTTGACATGGGATTTATCCCACCCATATTTAGGGCAGGAAGCCAGACACCAAGTTTCTCAGACCACAAGTAGATAGAGGGAATACCAGTCAATATAAGTCATCTTCAAACCTCGCCCATTCAGAGACAAAGCTCCCATTAGCGCTTGTCCTATACATAGATCAAAGAGGGTTCATGAAAAATCTAGCCTCGTACTGTCCCCCATCGTTGTGGTCTGTAGTGGAACCTACCAAACTCGCGAGGAAGCCCAGTAAGCGGCACTGTTATCTTCAAGACGAGGAGGAGAGAGTATATCGACTGACCTGTCCCTCGAGGGGAATGTCTCGGACTGCCTCAAGGCGAGGTATTGGGTACCTTGACTTTGTGGAGCACACTGGTTAGCGGTGTTTGGAAAGTGGGAAGATAAGTTTTGAGCTTGCAGGGGAGCTTACAAAAGGGGGAGAGAAAACATTCTGCTGTTCTCCTTCTGAGCCAAAACCTCGGGGAGGTATCCTTGACTCACAGTGGATTCGCCAACTTGAGCTGTTCGGTCTACAGTCTGCTTGATACGTTTAAGGTTCGTTTGGGACGGATTCGGGTACTAATATTAGTGAAGATTCGGGTCAGCGTTCAGTTCTAGGGGTCTATCCGGGGATGTGTTTGGCTCAACAGAAAGGATGGAGGGGTTTTGTATTTAAGCTTTCTGATGATTTTCGTGGGAACCACCAATTGAGTAGATCCCATAGAGATACACAATATCCCACAGGATAACAGATAGCTTAAGCACAGAGATGATATTATCCTAAATCCATAAAGAAATTCTAAAAGCTGTTAATTCATTGGCCCCTCGGAAATCTCCCAAAGACCAAAGAGTCTAGTTGTCACAACTACTACCCGAATACAGGAGTAGTTGGGAAAACCAGACTCTCAAGAGATCTGCAAAACAGGTTGCAGAGCTCAGGTGAAATTTAAGACTACTTCCGAGCACTCACAGTATTGCATCTCCCCAAAGAGAAAGCAGAGTGCCGGTAAGTAGCCTTGACGATGAACGAAGCAAGAGGAAGAAGAGGGAGAGAGAGATGGAAGCGGAAACCAAGCTTTTATAGCCGTAATGCCGAGGGTTATTGTGGGCTTTCATTCTAGGGCCCCGCTGCTTGCCCTAGCAGATTCTTGGGGGAGGGGGAATTTAGTGTGATGGCACGTAATACACATCTCTTGCAGGAGTATATTAGACACGCGGCAGCTAGTAGCAATATTCAAGTGCCAATTAATACATGTACCCATACCACAACAAAAAGCGAAGGTTACAAGTAGCTACAATATGTAACACAAAAGTTGATAGCAGACAGCAAGTAGCAGACATGCATACATCAACACTCATCCAACGGGATGGTAACATAGCTAGCGTCATCCACACTTTATCCACGCACAAAAACGACGCCCGCGCGGAGCATTCAATCAAGTCACAAATCAAGCCACCCATTCATCATCAAAGCTAAAAGGCCCACTTGCCGAGATTATCATAAACTCCTCGTCGAGTAGCAGAGAAACCCGCTTGATCGTCTGCTTTGACTTTCGAGAGTCTGTTTTATCTCATGAAGAGGTGTCCAGACTCGAGTCCTACGGAGGCCACTAATCCAAACGAGTGATCATTGGTGACTCTGGCTGCTAAAGTGTTAGCTCCTTGCAATCTGACGAAAGTCTTTCCATCCCATACCTGCATTACCTCATCACACTACTTGGCTGTGGTGTTTGCTCACATTGAGTCTGGGGAGGTGTGAAGGTAACTTTATGTTCTTGGCCTATAACAGATACCTACGTAATTCTGGCAGACGATGGCTCTTACTGCCTTATCAGAGACTTAGCTAATTTATATATCCATATTTAAGACAACTACTGGATTACTCGCTTTCTAAGGTACCTAGCCGAAGCTGCTGCTTCTAGGCGATGGTATCAAACATCACGGCTCGAGACAGATACACTAAGAAATGATGTTTCTAGCCTACGAAGAAAATGTTTTTTTTTTGTATCCTATTAAGAGGAGCGACAAAATACCGACTATTCAAGATACCAGAATGGCACCCAAGGCCGCAGGCGGCGGGCCGGAGCGTCGAGTGATATGGCATGACGCGATGGTGACTTGCTCCACGAGAGCTGGAGATGGCTGGACATAGAGAAGTCCTCGGGCCCGGGTACATATATCGATAGGGAGATCTGCATCGGTAAACATAGCCCACCCTTCCCTCGATTCAGGCTAGCCACCAGATGAATACTTTGCTAGGAAAGGTGGAAGGATCCCCGTTCAGTTAGCTGATCACATGCATGCCGGGAGCGAGCGAGAGAGCTATCCAGTTCGCCATTCCCCAAAGCATGGTAGTCTTTTATTGTATCATGTATCACCAGAGGGTGGCCAGTGGGTCGTGGTGGATTGTGATCGTAGGGTTAGGTGTCCCCCTAAGTAGCTAGCTCACTTTACCCTCACTCCCTTAAGTATTACTTCCCGGCCTTTGGCAGTTGTGTGAGCGGGGTAGTCTAGTGGTAGATGCCTCGTCTTGCTACACCGAGTGGATTGTCCCCATGACCATCAATAGGTCATTGGTTCAATCAACTCCGGGGGTGGGAGTAATGCTCTGGGGTGTACGGCATGTAACAGGGAGTAGAGTCCGATATACCGGGTAGTTGATCTCAGGGTCCTTCCACAAATTAGCACCTATAGCCTGCGAGGGGCGTATGGCCACAGCATTACTTTTTGTGTATTTATTGCCCTTTTTCTCCCCCCCCCCCCCCCCCCCCCCCCGGGGGGGCCCTAGGGGCCTGAGGACCTTCCTTAGTGGGGATGTGTGATATTGATTGGTGCTCTCTCTGGCCGGCCTACAATTGCAGATTGAACTATCTTAGCTTCTCGCTCATTATTTGGCCAATCGGTCTCGACTAGCTAGGCCGGTTTAGCGAAACTCTTTCAGGCCATATTCTTTTATAGTATAAGTAGTGTTTGTCTCCGTGTTTCTGCCCACAGCACCAGCACCTTGCTCCGCCCTACTGGAGGAGGCACTCATGGTTATTTTCATAGCCTTAATTAAGGCCGCATGCAGTTAATGGGTTAAACGAAAAAAAAAAAAAAGACACTCGTAGTTATGGTTGGTATGCGGGGTGAGTGATATCTCGTGACTGTAGAATAGAAGCTGCAGGGATCGATCACTCAGAGCTTCTGTATATGAAAGCAAGGTGGTTATAAAAACATACAACCTAAGTACCTAACAGATAGAGGGCTATGTGATAGTCGGATTGATGCTGGTTGAGCGAGGAGGAAGGGGTAATGCTCTCTATGTAGGTACAGAGAGATGACGCCCCATCCAGCCCGCAATGCCTACATACACTCGTCACCAGCAATCACTCACCATGCACCGCGAACCACATGCACAGCAGACATTACTAGCGAGCTAGAAATTCACCGCGCACACACATTGGCAAGGCAACCCGGTTGGCAAAGCATTCAATTCACTCTCCCCCGGACAAAACACAGCCAGAGATGATAACATCCATTACTACATATGTACCCCCCCCCCCCCCCCCAATTCCTATTCAACATGAGTAACCAACCAGCGCAGCCGCTCAGTGCAGGTATCCCACGCAAGCTGAGCACATCAAAAAAATAATAATAAAAAAATAATAAGAAACAAAACAACAATAACGAATGCGCCAAATAACTCCCCCCCATAAAGTCCCATAAAGCCCCCCATCCATTACGTTCATGCTTTCCATCCGCACCCAAGATAAAGATATGTACCTCCAAGAATCGACGCTAGTTACGGGTTGCCAAAAAACGTGCCCATGAGCAGCAGCGCAGACCTAAACGGTCCCACGCCCCGTATAAATCGTACGACTATGTTTCTCCCTCCAGAACAAGAACGCGCCGCCTACCAGATCGTTAGCCCACATCCACAACCACAACCACACCAAAAACCAAAGTAGAAAAACACATAACATACCCACAAAGCTCCCCAACCACAGCAGCATCCCCACCAAATCAAACCACACCGCCGTCTTCATCCTATGGCACGCGCCACTGCCCTCACAGTCCTCCCCAATATACAGCCGCCCAAAGAGCGCAAACAGCACCATCCACAGAAAGAACAGCACGCCATCCGCCGGCCAGAACCGGCCGCTGCGCACAGCGGGGACAAGGAAGAGCAGCGAAACAAGGATCGTCAGCGCCGCGACGACCATGGCGTACACCCAGCGCGAGTCGGCGGGCTCGTGCGCCTGGCTGGCGTGGGCGAGGTCGCGCCCGTAGATGCCGGTGATGACGAGCGCGATGAGGAGCTGGATGGTGCGCAGGGCGCTGTGCGCGATGAGGCCGGGGAGGCCGTAGGGGTGGGTGGTGGTGATGGGGCGGGTGGTTTTGATCATTGTGGGTGTGTTTTTTTTTTTTTTTTTTTTGGGGGGGGGGGGGTTGTTTGGATGGATGTTAGTTTGAATTGATTGTGGTGATGGTGGTGGTTCGATGTTTATAGTTGTTTGTTTATTGGTGTTGATATGCGCTGACGATTTATACCGAAAGTTTCAGCAGAGAAAGGACAGCACCACTCCTTTATATCCCCCCCCGCCTCGAAAAACAACAGCTCACCCTCTCTCTCCCATTCCCAAATCCCAAAACAAGAAGATCCCCAGTGACGCATCCCATCTCGGCATTCCGCCCTCTCCTCCCTTCTCTGCCCTTCGCTGCCCTGCTGTTAGCATCCATCCACCCAGCCAGCCAGCCAGCCAGCCAGCAAGCCAGCCAGCCAAGCAGCCAAGCAGCCAAGAGGCCGATCAATGATCTCACCGTGCAGCCAGGGCAAGGGAACCCTGACCCGATCCGGACTCGCTTAACCGCACATCGGTTTCGCTAAACGCCACTAACCCCCAAGCTTCACCCACGCTAGCACGCAAACGTGCTGACAGGGGTGGGAGCTCCAAAAATAATTCGAGCTCAGCTTTGGAGCTACGGGGAGCTATGGCGGAAATTGTTTCAGCGCGCGCGTGCATGCTATAAAAGTACAGAGATGCTGAGGAGATGTATTCGCGGCCACTTGTGAAACTAGCTAACTACAGGATCCAGATAGGCGGACTAAAAGAAAGAAAGAAAGAAAAGGAGACAGGAAAAGACAAGAGCCAATTGCAAGAGCTAACTACTCGCTACCAGCAGGCTCCTCTTCAAACAGCACCAGCGACACACCCGCCTTGACGACGTCCTATACGCGCACCACATGTTAGCTTCCACCCCGACAATCAACACTCAGAAGATAGACAACTTACACCTTCCTTATGCACAATCTTCTGCACCACCCCATCATGCGGCGCGCGTATCACCTATCCCCACAATATTAGCCACACCCACCCTCACCCCCCCGCCTCCCCCCGCAAGCACACTTACCGTCTCCATCTTCATACTCTCAATCACCACCAACACATCATCCCTCCGCACCCTGCTGCCGACCTCCACCTCGACCCGCAGCACCTTACACGGCATGGGCGCCACAACACTATTCTTCACCTCCGCCACGCCCAGCGCCTTCTCGTACCAGCCCGGCCGCGGCAGCCCCAGCCGGTACTCCTTCCCGCGCTGAAACACCACAACCACGTCCTCGCTCCGCACCACGGTTGTCTCCAGCCGCGTGTGCGGGTAGAACCCCACGAGATTCGACCCCTCCTCGCCCGCCGCCACCGGCGCCACGGTAACGCCGTGGTACACGGTGCCGTCAACATCGACATCATACACGCCCCTCCCCGTCTGCACCAGCGTCACCTTAACCGTCCGCTCCCCCTCCACAAACTCCACCACCCGCGCCTGCACACCCCCAGCGAAGCCGCCGCCGCCGCCGCCAAACACACTAAACGGGTCGCTCCCCTTCTGCGGGACACTCTGGCGCACCACCATTGCCAGCGCCGCCTGCGCAAACACCTCGGCGGGCGTCTCCTCGCGCGCAAACAGGTCCCCGCGGTGCTTGTCAATAAACCCCGTCTCGACCTCACCCGCGATGAAAGCCGGGTGTGCCGCGAGCCGCTTGAGGAACTCGATATTCGTCCTCGGGCCCACAATCTCGTACTGCTCGAGAGCAGCGCGCAGCTTCGCGAGCGCCGCGTCGCGGGTGGGGCCGCGCACGATGAGCTTTGCGATCATGGGGTCGTAGTGCGGGGAGACGGTGTCGCCCTGGGCGAAGCCGGCGTCGATGCGGATGTCGTCTGTGGCGGCGGGGGTGCGCAGGTGCTGCAGAAAGCCCGAGTCGGGGGTGAAGTTGTTGGATGGGTTTTCGGCGTAGATGCGGGCTTCGAAGGCGTGGCCGGACATCTTGGCTTCTACTTCCTCCTGCGTGGGGATGGGGAGGCCGCTGGCGACGAGGATCTGCCAGTGGACTAGGTCGGTGCCTGTCACGGCCTCCGTGACGGGGTGCTCGACTTGTAGGCGGGTGTTCATCTCCATGAAGAAGAACTCGCCGGTGTCGTTGTCGAAGATGAACTCGACCGTTCCGGCACCACGATAGCCCACCGCAACGGCCGCCTCGCGCGCCTTGTTCCATAGGTCCCTTCGGACCTCTGGGTCGAGGAACGGCGCCGGCGACTCCTCGAGTATCTTCTGGTGCCTCCGCTGGACAGAGCAATCGCGCTCACCGAGGGCGACGCAGTTTCCGTGCGCGTCGGCAAAGACCTGGACCTCGATGTGGCGCGGCGTCGTGATGTAGCGCTCGATGAGGACGACGTCGTCGCTGAAGGAGGAGCGGGCCTCGGATTTGGCGGAGACGAGGGCGGACGGGAAGTCGGTGGGGGTGTGTGCGATGCGCATGCCTTTGCCGCCGCCGCCTTTGACGGCTTTGATTAGGACCGGGAAGCCGATTTTCTCGGCTTCAGAGAGGAGGAAGGCGGCGTCTTGGTTGGGGCCGTGGTAGCCCGGGATGCAGGGGACGCCGGCGGCGAGCATGATGTCTTTGGATTCGCTGGGGAGGCATGGGGGGTTAGTGGGACATTGTAGTTGTAGATACTGTAGATGTAGGGTAGATAGTAAACCTCTTGTTCCCCATCCTCTCGATCGCCTCCGGCGGCGGGCCAATAAACACCAGCCCCTCCTCCTCGCACCGTTTCGCGAATTTCGAGTTCTCACTCAACTAGCTCACCCATTAGCCCCCCATCAATCCCAATGCCACTCCCCTTCTCTCCCCTCCCCACTTCCCCCCACCTCCCCCATTTCCCACTCCCTCTCCCCCGCCACAGCCAGAATCAAGAGAGAGACACATACAAACCCATACCCCGGATGCACCGAATCACACCCGGCCCGCTTAGCCACACCAATGATCTTCTCGCCATCCAGGTACGCCGCCACAGGGCCAATGTTGTAGGCGTGCGGCGTGACCAGCGCGTGCTGCGCGTGCGCGTCGGGGTCGGTGTAGACCGTGGTTGTGCGGATTCCGTGCTGGGTCGCGGTGCGGTTGACGCGGCTGTTGGGGGGGGGTTAGCTGTGGGGTACGAGCGGGGGGGGGGTTGGACGGGGAAGGTGAGAGCGGGGAGAGGGTGCAGGGATGGGAGGAAAGGGCAGAGGGGGGGAGAGGGGGGGGCGTACAGAGCTATCTCGCCGCGGTTTGCGATTAGTATTGATGTTAGTGGTTTTGGCACTATTCCTGCTGCTGCTGCTGCTGCTGAGGTGGAGTAGGGGCGCCGGAGGAGCGGGCAGAGGGTGCGTGTTGTGCGGCGGTACATTTTCTGCGTCTTCTCTTCTCCCCTCCTATCTCTCTGTTTGTGTGGATTGTGTGGATTGTAGCGGGAGTTAAAGACAACCCGGAGCTTTGACCTCAAGTGCAAGAAGTAACCACGCGGACAACTCCCTCCCACCACCTACCACATGCAGCTCGGCTACCCACGGCATCCCTCTCAGCACCGGAGAGCCCCGCCCTTCTCGTCGTTCCCCTGACAGGCAGGAACACTGATCTCGAATCAGCAATCAGCAGGTTCAATTCTTCACGTCTTCCGAAGCTGGCAGGCCGAGTCCAAGTGGCAGGTGCAGTCGCAGAATTATCATTGACCACCCCCGGCCGAGCTGTAGCAGTAGGTAGCAGTAGGTAGCTGGGGATCGAACCCTAACCCTGGGTACTAGCTCGGGGGCGGGGTGTGGGGTAGAGCTGGGGTCCGAGGTAGGCTTTCGGGTGTGGGGTGGGGTGGGGCAAGGGGTCCCCGCGGGTGAGGTGGGGAGGGGGCTAGTGGTGTTGGGGTTGAAGAGTGGGGTTGGCGGGGAAGGAAGGGTGGGGATGAACTTGGTGAGGCCGGCCACGAGATGTCACTCATGGCGGTTGGGCCGAGGTATTTCACATAGCTCTGGTAATAATATGCATTGAATTGAAGTAACTCTAAAAAAAAAATACACAAAAGCCCCAAACAGCTACGCCATCTAGATGACCTGGTCCGCATACTCGCGATTAAACGCCCTGCCAATGACAATCTGGCGGATCTGCGTCGTGCCGGCGCCAATCTCGTACAGCTTCGCATCTCTGAGCAGCCTGCCCGCGGGCAGCTCGTTGACGTAGCCGTTGCCGCCGAGGCACTGGATGGCGTCGAGGGCACACTCGGTGGCGCGGTCGCTGGCAAACATGATGGCCCCGGCGCAGTCCTTGGTCTCGATGGTGCCCTCGTCGACGGCGCGCGCGGCCGCCAAAGTGTATGCCCGAGAGGCGGACAGCTTGGTGTGCATGGAGGCCAGCTTGGCTTGGATTAGCTGGTTGTGCGCGATGGGGGTGTTGAATTGCTTGCGCTGGTGCACGTAGGGGAGGGTTATGTCGAGGCAGGCTTGCATGATACTACAATACGTATATTAGCGCGGGTTCTGGGTGGGGGGAGAGCGGGGAGGGGAGCGTACCCAACGGGCCCAGCGGATAGCACAAGACGCTCGAGGTCGAGCCCCTCCATGAGCACCTTGACGCCCTTGTTGGTGGGGCCAAGCTGGTTTGCGTCGGGCACGAACACGTCCTCGAAGATGAGCTCGCCCGTGTTGGACCCGCGCATGCCGAGCTTGTCGAGCTTGCGCGCGCAGCTGAAGCCGTCCATGCCCTTCTCGACGATCAGCGCCGTGATGCCCTTGGACCCCGCGTCGGGGTCGGACTTTGCGTAGACGACGACTACGTCTGCGTCGGGGCCCTGGAAGCATAGTTAGCACTGTAGAGCTCATATCACTCAATCCACCAGTAAAGAACCCATAGCTATAGCTGCACTCACATTCGTGATCCACATCTTCGTCCCATTCAGCACCCACCCGCCATCCACCTTCCTACACACACTCCTCATAGCCACCACATCGCTGCCCGCCCCATGCTCACTCATCGCCAACGCACCGACCTTCTCTCCGGCCACCAATCCCGGCAGCAGGCGCCCCTTCTGCTCCTCGTTGCCGTTGAGGGTGAGCTGGTTCACGCACAGCTGCGAGTGCGCCGCGTACGAGAGGCCGATGCTCCCCGACGCCCGCGAGAGCTCCTCCATCACGATGCAGTGCGCCTGGTAGCCCAGCTCCAGCCCGCCGTACTCCTCCTCCGCCGTGATGCCGAGGAAGCCGGCGGAGCCGAGCTTGCCCCACATGTCGGCGGGGAAGGCGTTGCTGGAGTCGGTGTGCGCGGCGAGGGTTTCGGGGATTTCGCGTTCTGGGGGGGGGGGGGGGGGTTAGTGGGGGTTGGATGTGGGGGTAGGAGAAGGGGAGAGGTTTGGGGGGGGGTGGGGGGGGGACAGACTGGTGAATTCGCGGACCCGCTCGCGCAGCTCGATGAGGTCCGAGGTGGTGGGGGGCGTGAAGTTCTTTGTGTGTTTTGTAGAGGCGGGGCGGGCGTGGGCGTGGGTCGCCAGTAGGGGGCGGGCGAGGGTGAGCGAGAGCGGGGAGAGGAGGCCGGCGCGGCGGGGGAGGAGTGTGCGGGCGAGTGCCATTTTTAGGTGTAGGTAGCTAGGTAGCTCTTAATTATAACTCAATCGGAGGTATCTCACGAGAATACGGAGAAGCAAAAGAAGAAGAAGAAGAAGTTCAGAACGATGAAGTAAATAGCTAGCTAGCTCTAATCGAGCCCGTGATGATGCGTCGTGTCGTGTCGTGTCGTGTCACGGGACGGGGCTGGGCTGCGGTTATCGTCGGCGCGCGTCTCAGCCCAACCAACTCTCTCTCTCTCTCTCGCCCACTCCCGGCCCCGGGCGTGCGTGCACAGTCAACCCCACACCGGATCTCCCACACACACAGAGCTCAGGGCTCAGAGCTCAGAGCTGTCTAAATAACACACCCAACCTCTTCCCCCTCAAAGCTCACATCTCCAATTCAATCCCCCTCACCAGCACACCAACAGCAGCAATGCCCCTCCCCCTCCGCATCCCCCTCCGCATCCCCCTCCGCCGTCTCCCGGGCCGCCGCACAATCACAACCCACACCCACCCGCACTTCACGACCCCCGTCTCCGTGCTGCCCACCCACATCGACACCAGCAGCGACACCTACGCCGCCAATGCCACGCACATGAGCACGCTCAACACGCAGCTGCGGGAGCTGCACCGCACCATCGCGCTCGGCGGGCCCGCGGCGGCCCGCGAGAAGCATTTGGCGAGGGGGAAGATGCTGCCGAGAGAGTAAGTCCCCCCCCCCCCCCCTTTGGCTAGTTGTTGTAGTAGTAGGGTGGTGGAGTGTTGTGGGGTAGGGTAGGGCTGATTGGGTGGGGCTTGGTGGGGGATAGTCGTATAACAGCCCTGCTCGACACAGGGTCCGCGTTCCTCGAGCTCTCGCCGCTGGCAGGACATGGGCTGTATCCCGACGAGGATGTGCCGGCGGGCGCGATCATCACGGGGATTGGAAGGGTGTCGGGGGTGGAGTGTATGGTTGTTGCGAACGATAGCACGTATGGTCCCCTCCCCTCTATCTATATAGCTATCTCTTGAAGCTACAAGCTACTAACTACTACTACTATAAACTACAGCTGCAAAGGCGGCACCTACTACCCCATCACCGTCAAGAAGCACCTCCGCGCGCAGACCATCGCTCTCGAGAACCGTTAGGCACCCCCTCCTTCTTCCTCCTCCTCCAAATACCCGTCACGGCGATCACTAACACTACCACTTATCCAGGGCTGCCGTGCATCTACCTCGTCGACTCCGGCGGCGCAAACTTGCCGCACCAGGCCGATGTATTTCCCGACCGCGAGCATTTCGGCAGGATCTTCTACAACCAGGCACGAAGTACGAGCCCACCTTCCCATTGAGCTAGTTTTACATAGCAGTGTTAGCACTAGTAGCAGAGTAAAGCTTACATCAGTATCCAGTGTCCGCCCAAGGCATCCCGCAACTCTCCGTCGTCATGGGCCCCTGCACCGCCGGGTTCGTCCCCCCTTTCAACCGAGTGCTCCCCCATGACCCACTAACCTAACCCCAAACAGCGGCGCCTACGTCCCCTCCATGTCCGACGAATCCATCATCGTGGCCAACACCGGCACCATCTTCCTGGCAGGCCCACCGCTCGTCAAAGCCGCGACCGGCGAAGTCGTCACCGCCGAAGACCTCGGCGGCGGCGAGCTGCACAGTAAGGTGTCCGGCGTGACCGACTATCTCGCTGTCGACGACGCGCACGCGCTTGTGCTTGCGCGGCGGTGTGTTGCGAATCTCAATTGGCCTGAGGGCAGCGGGGCAAGTGGTGGTAGTGGAGGAAGTGGCGAGGTGAAGGAGCCGCTGTATGATCCGAAGGAGCTGAATGGTGTTGTCGGGGAGAGTCTGAGGAAGCAGGTGGATGTGCGCGAGGTGATTGCGCGCGTGGTGGACGGGAGTGAGTTTAGTGAGTTTAAGGCCAACTATGGGAGTACGCTTGTCACTGGTAAGCCCGCACCCTCCCTCTCCCCTCTTCCCCTCTCCCCACCCACCGCCCTCTAACCCACCCCCCCCCCCCCCACCACAGGCTTCGCAAAGATCCACGGCTACCCCGTCGGCATCCTCGGCAACAACGGCATCCTCTTCTCTGAGAGCTCTCTCAAGGGCGCGCACTTCATCCAGCTCTGCACACAACGCAACATCCCGCTCGTCTTCCTGCAGAACATCTCGGGCTTCATGGTCGGCCGCGACGCCGAAGCGGGCGGCATCGCCAAGAACGGCGCCAAGCTCGTCAACGCCGTGGCGTGCGCGGACGTGCCAAAGTTCACCGTCGTGGTGGGCGCGAGCTATGGCGCGGGAAACTATGGCATGTGTGGGCGGGCGTATGGGCCAAGGTTTTTGTGGATGTGGCCGAATGCGAAGATCGGCGTAAGCTTCACCCCGTCTCCCCCCCGTTTTATGTTAGAGTAGGAGTAGGCTGACAGTGAGTGCTGGTGGGGGGTAACAGGTGATGGGTTCCGAGCAGCTCTCCTCCGTCATGGAGACGGTCGGCAAGAGCGTTGATCCGGCGCTCAAGGAGCGCATCGACAGCGAGAGCGAGGCAACGTTCTCGTCGGCACGGCTATGGGACGATGGCGTGATCCCGCCGGAGGATACGAGGCGGGTGTTGGCGCTGGGGCTGCGGGCGGCGTTGGGCGGCAGGGGCGAGAGTGCGGTGTCGAGGTTTGGGGTGTTTAGAATGTAGATAGCGGTGTGGAGTGGGGCGGTGATACCATCATGGTGGCTGTTATAATGGAGCTTTTTTTTTTTATGTGTGTGTGCTGAGTGATGAGTTATGACGGGTGATTGATTAGTGGTGATGTGGGGGTGTTGGTGTGAGTGAGTGACGGTGACGGTACATGAGCGAGCCAGCGACAACGGGTGACTAGCAGTGAGTGACAAGCGATGACCCAGACATGAGTGAGCGCCGGTGACGGGAGGAGAATAACGGATGATGAGTGATGACTGTGCTCGATGCTGTAGGTGACACTGTACATACATAGGTGACACTGTACATACATAGGTGCAACCGGGTGCCATGCGGTCCCAAAGGGAGACGAACAAAGGTACCGGGAGAGCGCAGGCAGACAGGTATTCTACTTACCTACAGGGAGCCACCGTGGGGGCCGGACTGCCAGTGGAGTAAGTGCTGCAACTACCTTACCTTACTCATACCCCCCACTGCACTGTCCGTCCGTCTCCATCTCTTTGTATCGAGTATATTACCCTCGCACTCTCTCTTACACCTCTAACCTCCCATCCTTTACCCACAACCACCTCCCACCACCCACAGCCGCAACCACCTCCCATCACGACTAATCACCAAACCAACTCAACTCAGACCACACCCGCCCCTCTGTCCGTGTCCGTTAATTCCCAAGCACCTCCTCCCAAGCATCTCCCCCCAATCCCAATCCCAATCCCAATCCCAGCTACGGGAACATATCCGACATCCCGGGTCCCCCCCCCCCGCCGCTCAGACCCCATAGCTTTTCCGCGCGCTTTTCCGCATACCCTTTTTCCGCAGTGTGGTCTCTCTCCCGGCCGAGGGCCGGGCCGGACGGTCGGTCGGTCGCGGGTGGGCACCGGGCATGGTGGGTGAGAGGGTGGACCGTGGAAGAGGTGGGAAGAGGTGGGAAGCTCCGGTATGCAGGTAGAGGTGGGTTAGGTAGAGTGGGTGTGGAGAGGTGGGTGGGTTTACCAAAGAGTTCCTGAGATAGAGTGCTTGGAGGAGTGGAGTGCGTGAATTCGAAGGTCCCCGAAAAAAAGTAGCTAAAAGTGCCTGCCGGGGACCAGGACCAATATCACGGGAACCGCGTCTACGGAAAAGAAAGGAAAATAAAAAGGTGACCAGAGAGCTGTCAAGCGCTCAATCAGGTCCCGAAACAAAAACCAAAAAACAAGACAAAATAAAAAAACAAATTGTCAGACTCGTAGACATCTACCGTGGCCGTCCGGTCAAGTACCGCAACCGCACCGTCAGTTACAGATTGCGAGGTGAGGTGAGGTGAGGTCCATGCACCACCCACCACAGACAGAACAGCTACAACATACATCGTCTCTCTACTCTACCTCCTACCCGCTCCGGTACGGCCTCCCTCCCAGATACTTCCCAAACCCCAAACTCAAACCCAAACCCAAACCCAAACCCAAACCAAATCCTCATCTGAGCACTCACTTCCCAAGTATTCTGTTTCACCCACTCTTACTCTCGCTTCCGCACGCGCGCGCACAATCCACCATCAAAAAACAAAAAACCTCGCCATCTTCACCGCCTCCGGGAACGTCTTCCATTGCATCGCCGTACATATGTAAACCTACCAAGAAATAAAAAATAAATATAAAAAAAAAATGAATACACAAAAGCAATGTTCCCCCCCCATCTCATCTCATCTCATCTCATCCCATCTCGCTAGAGCAGAGCAGAGCAGCGCAGAGCGGCATAGCCATACTCGACCGACCAGGGATACCGGTCAGGGTTACAACTCTCCCAAGCACAACCTACAAGCACAAGCAAGTTCCCCAACCCCAAATCCAAATTTCTGGGTCACCCGCCCGGCCGCCCAAGCGTTGTTTCTTTACCCGCAGACCGTACCCCCGGGAAGGGCAGGCTAGCTAGGTAGAGTATGTAGGGGGAGGAATTAAGGAAAAGAGCCAATATCAATGCCAAACCTGGCAACCAAGCTCCGTGGTTTCTGCATCGGCCAATATCGCGAGCGAGCACAAAGGAAAGAAAAAAAAAGAAAGGAGTGTAATTATCCTACTCTACTTTCTACTTCCTACTTTTCTGAGTGCTATCGCCATGTCGATCGATGGGGGTGGTGTTGGAATACCGCAGTAAGCTAGACAGGTATGTATGGGTAGAGATGTAGTAGGCATAGCTACCGGAGGTACAGGTCAAGCAGGAAGGAGCGAGTTGAAGGTGAAAGGGGGGGGGGGGGGGGGGGGGGTGGAGTCGGAAATCGAAATCGAAATCGAAATCTGTGCCTCCGCTCTGACAGATAGACCGCCAAACAAGACAAGACAGACAGACTGCCGGGTCTCTTTAACAAACGTCTATACGTACAAGCATGTTATAAGTTACGACATCGCTTCCCACCCACTCCAGGTGTAAGTGCGTAGTAGTAGAAGAGGTAGAGGGTACATGTAGGTACTCTAGAGTACCTTGTTCCTGTTCCTCCATCCATTAAGGTTAGGCTAAGGCCCGCCGCCCGTTTCAAAAACCCCAATCCAGGACCTCTCCATGCTGCAGCATACCTTCCTCGGTAACGAATTGACGTTTTTGCAAGTCAAGTCCACTCCAGCAAAGTACATGTACCCAGCCAGCCAGGGCTAGGGCCATGGTATGTACTCCATGTACTCCTCCAAGGCCGAGCCTCCACCCTCCACCCCACTCTGAGCTTCCAGATGGAGATTATGGTTATGGCGGATATCACGAAAGACATCTCCATGCAGCAGGGTGAGTGTGGAGTACAGATACAGATACGATGTGCTATAGATCTTCGCACAACCTGCTCTACGCCTCACGCCTTATGACGCCCACCCCCGCAGCTACCAGGTATGTACATACATGTACATACAGTACTTGGTGCATGTAGCTGGGTACCGAGCTGGGAGGTAGCTACATGTGCGTGTAGGTAGCTACATGTACCTCCTACACAGCTAAACAACACGGTTTCAAGTTCAATTGGTACAATTGCCAGTAGGATTCTCCACCTGAGCTTGGTGCGGTGCAACAATGAGGATCAAGCCTTTCCCTATCCTTAAATATCCGCTACACGACATGCAACAAAAAAAAGAGAGAGAGCGAGAAAGAAAAGGAAAACCCGAGGGGAAAGGTACTGGGATTCGAAAAGAGAGAGAAAAACACTAAAATCATTCCTTTACCTCCTTTGACAAACGACCAAAAATGCCCAAATTGAACCACGATATAAAAAAAAAGAAGAGAGCAACAGTAAAACAGTGGCGGCTACAGCACAAGTTGAAAATCAAAAATGGGTTACCCAAATCAAAAACATAAACAGCAGTCGACGCCAATGATCGCCAAATAAAATAAAAAAAAGATGATGCCCCTATAATCCGCGCGCCCTGTTCTCGCCCTTTACCTTGTTTCCCATGTCTTCGCAGACGTTCCCTCTCTTTCCCAAATGGCGCCGAATGAAACATATATATATATACAAACAAAATAGAGGAAGCTTCAAAGGTAGAAGGCTTTCTCCGATACCAGGAAATTCAAAGGGAAGGTTCAAAAAAAAAAAAAAAAAAAAAAAGGGAATTATGTCCCGGCGGGGGTCAGTGAGAACAAAAAAAAAAAAAGTCCGATCTTTGAAAAAAGAAAACCATAACCATTGACCAAAGAGATTAACCCCCCCACCGCACTCCCTCTCTGTCGCCATTCCCGCCCTATAGGATTACGCAGAATCTTGATCTGCCCTGTCTCCCGCCTGACGTTTTTGGCGGTTTCTTTCCTCCGAGCGGTTTCTCTTTGCCATATCCATCTGAACCCCAGCCGGAATTCGCATCCGCTCTCATCATCTGCCTGCACAGGTCCAAAAACACCTCATCTACGTTCTGTCGTTTTCTTGCTGAGGTCTCGTAGAATGGGACACGGCCCCATTTCTCTGAAAGGTGGATGGCGCGGTTGCTATGGACAGCACGATCTTCCTCGAGGTCCGATTTATTGCCGACGATGACGATCGGGACGCTTTCGGCTTCCTTGATACGTAGAATCTGGTCACGGAGGTCGGAGAGTTCGGTCAACGTGTTGAGACTTGTTATTGAGTAGACGAGGAGAAAGCCTTGGCCTACGTGAGGTGATAGTCGTTAGTCAGGGGTTCGGGACGGGGATTTATTGAAGCTAAGGTAGGTACCGGTTTTCATATATATTTCTCTACAATGACGTTAGCTTTTTTACTCTTAATGGAAGGTAGGTGGACAGAAGCTTTTTCTTACCTCATGGCGGCTATTTGCAGACGGAAAAATTAAATACGTTAGCTTTTCGATAATTCACAACTTTCCCATGGTGATTGGTCCTCTCCCCCGTCAAATGCACACAAAAGGTTACTGACTAAACTGTTCTGTTCCTGCGGTGTCCAAGCTGTATTATAATTCGCCGCGGAAAAAGTAGTGGGCTTCATATTAGCCTTTCCTAAACACTCAAGCTGTGGGTTGGGAGCGGAATTTTATTTCGCATTGGTAGAAGGGCACACTAACATCTCGAGTATGCATGACCGGCCCTGCAACAAAATCCTTCATTAGTCTTCCGTTGCAGTAATAGAGATGGTGGGAAGGCTGTTCAAAAGCTCACATCAACATCAATGACCTTCCGATAGGAATCCTCTATGGTGGGGTCATAGGATTCTATCCACTCATTGTGAACGAATTGTGCTACACATCGACGAATCGTTTAGTCTCCTAGGCACGCGACACCAGTCCTGGAGGAAGCGGAGAGGGAAGAATGAACCTGTAAGACAGCTTTTACCAACACCACCTGCACCACCGAACACCAGTCAGCATGACCAAACGAAGCAGACGAAGCTAGATTAGCATGGCAGTAGTGATGCTTACCGGCTCCTAGTATCACGATGTTGTATTCTCGTCTTCTGCTGGACCGAGAGGAAGTAGGCCCCGTTATTAGCCGCAGTACGTTTTTACACATGGTATCCTCCACTCGAAATAGGGGAACGACAGACGACACAGCACAGCACAGCACTCACTGTACGTGAGAGGAAGCGGGAGGTAGTGGTGGGGGGGGTGGGGAGGGATATAGGAGCTAAGTGCAGACCATACCTGTGCTGCATAGATAGTTTGAATGTGCACCTGGAATTGTATTTGATGTGTATGTAGAGAGCCGCCTTGTATATAGTGTATTGGTAGGCAATGTTAATGTAATGTGGGTAGGATATGTACGGTGCAGACAACCAAAACACACCACGGCTCGATGACGAGTGAGAGGATGAAGTGGGGAGACGCGGAAGATAGATGGTAGGCTGGAACCGAACGTCTTCAGAGAAAGAATGAAATAAAATATAAGAACGAAAAAGAAAAAAAAGATATATAAGTAAGACTTCAAGTACTAAGTGGAATAAAATAAAGTTTCAAACGACTGGAAGTTAGAGACAAGAAAAGTATTATTAAGTCCAAGAGAGTAAAGAAAGAGGAAAGCAGAAGGCAGAGAGAGTAAGGAAAAAGATCGAGTGAGAAACCGGGCGCGAAAATGATCGACCGCGTTCTGGAAGCTTTTGGGGGGGGGGGGGAGCTAATACGCCGGTGCAAAATGGGAAGGGAAGGGGAGGAAAAGGGAAAGCGAGGATGAGAGAGGGAAAAAAAAAAAAAATTACAGTTACACCGTTGTTACCCGTAAACCAGAAAGGTAACTTATGGGCCTAATTAAGGAAACCGAATTCAACTGCTGGGTTCAATTATGAAAAAGCGGGCGCGGGCGGTTGTTTGTGGGGGCGCGCTTTGGAAGTTCTTTTACTTACTACTGCTACTGCTACTTACTACTACCACCCCTTGAGGTCTTCAAGGCTTCAACGCGCCCGTCCCGGCAGTTCCTTTAGAGTCCTCGTTTATCTGCCCTACCATGAGCTGTCCCGGTACTTTACCGAACACAGCCTGCAAAGAGGAAAAAAAAAAACACGTCTCACAGCTACATACATGTATCATACCCAGGCAAGGCACTGCTACTCTAGGGTACTTTAGAGTAGACACATAAGTACATGTAGGCTGTATGTACTACTTGACCTACATCTCTACATATTTAACTTCATGCATAAACAAACAAGACATTCAACACCATCTGCATCGTTTCACTGGCGGTCCATCAAATCAACTCAGACAACGGGAAACAGGCCTGACTGACAGCAGGCGTTCGTGCAGAGTAAGAAGGGGAAAAAAAAAAAAAAAAAGGAGCTGTTTCGTTTCGAGCTTTCTCCGAAATTAGACAGCGGCGCAAACAGCTACCAGCCCTCTAAACCCGATCAGTAAGGGTTCCTAACGCTCGGGCTGCTAAGAAACCGTTACAAACGCGGTTAGACCTCTTCCCCTTCCCAACACCTGCTGTTGGTTCGTGCCCCCAGTTCCAGCTTGGCGTGCATTAAGCTTGATTTTGACGCGGGTTTGGGTTGGACCACCTTTTTCCACTTGAGCTCAAAAACCCAGTCAACGCCAGAACGCCTCCATGCACGAACATCAGCCTGCAGCAAATCGATAAGATTTTCTCTTGGGAAGTCAACAGCACTGGGTAGTGAGAATACCCGGTACAAGGTGGGATATGGATCGTTATCACATCCGTTTCGTTGGTTAGCCAGGTTATAAAAATTTCCCAGGACGGTAAGACCCGTGGATGGAACACCAGAGAGGTTAACTTTAGCTGATTACAATTGATAGGAGGATAAACGAAAAGTAATGTTTTCAAAACCACTTTAGGATCTAGGAACCAAATATACCAAGAACAACGTTCTTCATTATCTTCAAATCTATAAATATCAAGCCATTATAAACAACTAACAATTATACAGTATCATAACGCTCCAACAAAAAAGTATTTTAAACGTCAATCGAACATATAAGTACCCAACCCGCTCATAACAAAAAAACAAAAAAGAAACCAGTCCAATATGAAACACAAAAAAATGCATGATAACCAGTGATCCCAAAACCCCCAAAATATTGACAAGAGAAGAAAAATGATACAAATCAAGATGCGTGAGTGATTATGACTTCTCCGCTTGCTGCTGAGCCTTCTTAGCCTCCCTAGCAGCGGCAGAAGCCCTTTGACCCGCCTCGACCCTCTCAATCCTCTTCTCCGCGGCCATTCTCCACCCTTCACCATAACGGAAGATCATCAACGGGAACAACAGCCCCAATGGCAATGCGATGAAACCCATCAAAGAGTTACCCCATCCGTACCCGAGTTTGTCGTACATCTGTCTTCCAAACAGCGGGAACGCGAACCCGAAGAGGGATCTGAAGAGGGTAGCTGCGCTAATAGCGGAAGCGGCATATCGTGGTGACATGTCAATCAGATAGGTCTGAACAGACGAGAAGACAGAGATAAGGCCCATGGAGAAGATGGAGGTTCCGATGAGGGGCATGATCCAGTGAAGACGCTTCTCAGCGGACCATCCGTACCAGAAAAGACCACCTGAGATCAAGATGGCTCCAACAAAAAGAGTAGGAAGACGGAACTCGGGCTTTGCAACGCCGCCGTTGGCAGCGGTAAGCTTGAGGTAGGTCTTCTGGAGTGCTGGAGTGAAGGTTGCAAGACCGAGCAAGAATCCGATTCCGGGAGCAAGGTAGTTCAAACCAGCAATACCGACAGTCTCGCCGTATTCACCCTGGAACAAAGTCGGGAAGGTGACAAACATCAAGTACAGGAATCCGTAAGTGAAGGCCATAAATAGACCAAGAGACAACAACACCGGGTTCAATGCCAACATCAAGAAAGGTCTGGTAAGAGCGATCTTGAAACTAGTCTTGATATCTCTGCTGACCTCGAAAACACTGTGAAGGTTTTCATTTCCAGTCGCCTTCCTCGCTGCAGCAGCCTTGCGGTTGAGAATAACAATGGCGTATGTCTCATCCTTGAAGATGATGGCACCAGCGACCGCCGTCACACCTGTGACAATGGACAAGACCCAGAAAACCCATCTCCATGAGATATGCTGAACAATGAAACCGGCGATGATTGGTGCGCAGACTGGCCCTACAAGTGGGCCAAGAGCGAAAAAGGCCATTGCTCGGGCCAAATCGACGGGGGCCCAGATATCAGACAAGATACCAGCACCAAGGGCCAATGGAGAACTACCAGCCAAACCAGCAAGGAGACGGAAGGCAATCATTTGTCCGGTTGTCTGGGCGACGGCGCAAGCAATGTTGAAGATCAAGAAAAGGAAGATAGAGACCTGCATGACCTTTACACGTCCGAAGATCTCAGAGAGCGGGGCAAAAAATAGGGGGCCGAATGCGAAACCGATCAAGAATACTGAAACTGTCATGGAAGCAATTGTGGTGTTGGTGATGCCGAATTCTTTTGCGTAAGCCTGGGCGGCAGGTGCGGCGATAGAACTGGCGAATGGGGAGACAAATGTGTAAAGGGAAACGATCAAAGTAATGGTCCATTTCTTTTGTGTAGGGAAGTTACGAGGATTTGCTGGATCATCTGGTCCATCCCTATATTTCACAAAAATGTCAATATATTACTCAAAAACGGATATATTGAGGAAATTAAGCTTACCATGTGATCAATTCAGGATCAATATCTTTAAATTCAGAAGCATCGTCCGGAGCGTCCAGTTCACCCTCATTTTCGGTCCGTCGTGAATATACAGATCGAAGTTCTTGCAGTGTTTCCTGTCGTCGGAGGTTTGCATCGTCTGTCGACAGATCCTGGTAGATATCCTTCTGGGTAGCTGCAGATGAGATTGAAGCTCCTCGCCCTCGTGCTTTGTAGGCACTGGGCCCGCTCTGAGATTCGAGATCGACGTAGTGAGGACCGTTCTCGGCAACGGTTTTTGATGATGAGTTTGAGGATGACGCTGAGGAGGCGGACATCGTTTTTTCCAATGCTCCTTCGTTAGGAGTGTTTGATGTCGCCATTGAAATAACCTTAAATTCAAATATCCCAGGGAATCACGTTTATATTTCCTAATATGGGCTACTTGTTAAAATGCTTTAAAGCTATTTGACTGAGATCGTTGTCTAAGCTTCAAGTGCTGTGCTTGGGTTGTTTGGATTGAATGATGGGAGATCAAGACAGAGAGAGGAAATGCTCTTATTTAATAAGGATTCTTCTTGATATCCAGAACTATATTCTTTGGCAGCACGGAATAGCATCATCCGGGCGAAAGTACGACATGCCCCGACCCACGGGCGTTACAGAGAAAAAAGCTTGACATTAATCATCTACTAGTGACTAAGGTAGGCAAAGATACCGAGGTCAGAGCCTCTGCTACCCTGATTTGGTGATCTAATACCGGCTTTAAGGTAGCCGTTGAAGGGTTGTCGACCTACAGCCGGTGACAGGGCAACTCTCGGACTATCGAAACACCCACATGCGTTCAATTTACCGTCATAGACCTGATGCCAAGAGCTCGGATAACGGTGCCGGTACCACATGGGAAGATTCAAGGAAAAAAAATAGGGTTTCTTCTCTGTTTACGGAACATACGGAAGTGACAATTTGTACCCGTATGTACCACAAATTTTCAATCTGGCGCAGGCTGACGTTGTGTGGCTTCAGGCTTGCATCGGGTGGATAGGAGGATTCATGAATCTAGCATTCGTTTCTAGAAGTTTCGCGTAAATCCGAGATAATTCCGTTTGCAGATAGACAGGGTCTGGTTATCCAGATTTCTTAAATCCCTCTATCGGACGAGAGATCGATGCTTAGCAAAAAATTTCCTGTCCTTGCGTGAGCGCAAGTAAGACTCATTAGGCGAAACGCAATCTACCACCAGTTACGCAGACTATGGCGATATCGATTTGGGATAGACTCCCCTCCCAAATGACTCCCGGGACATGCTTGTTACCTCAGGAGATTTCTCCTGCAGGGTCTTGAGAGGCTCAGCATTTGCGAATCGGTTGAAATTTAGGTTGTGCCGAGGTACGTGTATCCTGTATGTGCCCTTAAATTTAGCACCAACATCAGCCCTTTGGCGGCACTAAAAACCCCCCGGTCCCGCATCCGGCCCGAATATGGCCGTATTGCTTGGTGTGAAGGATCAAAGATCCTCCGGCCCGCATGGAGAAGCTTTTCTTTTCTTCCTTGACGTTCTCGCGGGAACGCAACGTGGAAATGTCTTAACCCTTTCCTCCCAAGCCTTCCTTCATGCCATGCCTGGTCGATGTTTCTCCAGAATGGTCGGTCTCTTATCAACTTCCTCCTTTCACAAAATTCAAGGGTTAAGGGGCCTGAGGGTTAATAAATACAATCACAATAAACGAAGGCCCATGATTACGAGCCGGAAAGTTTTTCTTTGCGCTAAACAGGCAGGTTTGTGGCGCGTAGCAGCCCATGTGCGGACGAGAAACTTGTATCAACCGAAACAAAGCGTCAGAGCAGAGATACGCGAGCGAGAGACGTGAGACGCACGGCCTCATCGAACAATTGATCGAGTCTTCCTTGCCGGCTTCCGTGCTCAACTTTTAGTTGTTTAGGACAAAATGTGTATCATACGAGCCATCAGAGTCTGGGTACCCTAGTGGACGCGTGTGGTAGCTGACGAGTTTCTTGAGGTCAATGCTTTGGATATCCGGTATCGGGGCATCAAACCGGGCCGATACGAACTATTACTCTAGGACGACGGATCGGGATAATTTATTTATTCAGAATCATGCTCGTTGGTCTCGGAGTAACTAGAAAGTGCTTAAGATTAAGGAGTGGAGTTGTGGTGATAGAGATGGCAATATTTCATGAGATAAACCGCACGGGAAGGCAGGTCTGACTTTTCGCAGCACGACGGTTTCTCGAGTTGGATTTAGTTGGTTGTGCTCAGATGCTCAGTCTCCTCTGTGAAGGTTTATCGTGAGTTCCCGATTTGAGCCCTTACATTCGGGACCTTAAAAAGGCAACGCCTATGCAGATGGGCATGTCAAAAAATGGTCCAGATCGAAACCTGGTGAAGCGAACCAGACCCAAGTTGCTGGAATTAACGGGATCGGCCCAAGATACTGTCATCAGTGGCTTTCTAAGCCGGTCGCTGACAACCTTGTAAAACGGCAATTTGGCTTGGTATTAGTAGTGATAGCTTGGGGTCTATAAAGTATGTATTAATGTCCTGGTGGAATATATAGGGGTTCGCATCCTGGTACAGGGTCTTACCTGGCTGAGCCTTTCGTTCCGGGCGTAAATTTATCCGCAACTGATTTTCATTCCAAATAGCTGGCCCTGATGTAAGATAGTATTCCCAATTATGTCTAGAGGTTCGGTCGGGTCTCGTTTTATATTACAGCGGATAGGGTAGTTCAGGATGGGATTGGTTAGTGAGCTCGAGGAGGCTTTCCTAAACCCAATTTATTGGCGCGTAGAAACCTTAATTTACTTACGCTTATGTACCACATGTTACCAGTCGCTGTGATTCAGGGTCATAGTATCGCACTCGGCGTTATATATACATGTACCAGGGGTTAACCATAAGTACCGAGAATCTAATAAGATAAACACACCTATTTCACAGCAAGATTCTCTTATCAGATTCTTCGTATTTACCCTCAACGCCCGGTACATACATGTACCTACATGTAATATACTCAAAAAGCAAGCCACTAATGTAGTGTCTCAAATTGGATTAGACCCACATATGGATGAGTGAGATTCTATGAAGAGATATAAAACTTATTGAACTCTTCCAAACATTACGTCATTGCTTTAGCAATGTGTTCTACATAGACATATGCATGGCGAGGCGATCCAAGATTTTTATGTAATTGCAACGAAATACGCTTAAATAAGGATTGCTGGTAACATGTATATAGTGTTATCACCGAGTTTACTATAGTGTTAGGAAACTAACCCCTTGCCGGGTACTTCAAGCATATGTATATAGGAGATAGCTACTTGTCCGCGAGCTTCCTAGAGTTCTACTAGAGTTCGGCTGGAATCCTGCCAATTTACTAAATACACCCCTGGCTATTCCAGGATAAGCTTACAGGATGCTTTAGCAGTTCCCCTATTCTTGTGGGATGGGAGTTGATGGCATATAGAAGAGCTCGAGTTCTAGACCATATATTTGGATAAATAAAGTTCCGCAGCCCCTTTGTAAAAATCGTTCGTATGAGGGGTTCCGGGAGTCTCAACTACCAGTTGTAATCAATATATATATATATCACAGGCCTCTACTGGTGATTATTTCCACAAGAACTAGAAGGTACCTCGTCTTCGCTACGCATGTTTGGCTAGAGATGCTCCAGCGGATACTTTTGATTACGCGCTTTGTGGTGTTGGAGTCTACCTAAGTCGCATGCAAGGGACATGCTACCGATGGCCATAATTCGACCAGCACTATCCCCTTGTGTTTCCAGCAAGGTACATCTTAGATTGATTTAAGATGTGCACTCTTCTCTCACTCTTTTGGTACGGTTTACATGTGGTGAATATGCAACTGCATATCAGCTACATTAACAACAACCAAACTTGCAACGTTAACTTGACTCATGCCCACATGCACTTCAAATTAGTATTTGCTTGGCGACAGTTCTGATATTTAAATATTTCTCTATAAATTTTTAGAATCAAAGGTTGTTGACTATGAGTGTTTATTTAGTAGAGTTATAAATTTAGTCTATTTCTCATATTAATGAATTAAACAAAAAAAAGTCTATTTCTCGTGATGTGTAAATCATGTAATATCACTCGGTACCGATTCCCTCCTCTCTTTCAGCAAAACGATCGTTCAAAGGTGATTGATGGCCCACTTGATCATTTATTATAGGTAGTTGTATATATGCTCATAATTCACAAAATGGAAGGAGTATATGACCTGCGGAATATGGGGGGGGTGGGGTAATTAAGTCTCACAGATTCCACGAGAGTACCGCAAGATACCGCGTAAACAAGATGATTCGCGAACCCGATTTCCCTCAAGAAATAACTTAGTATTTCATACACTGGCTGGTGGACTAGGTTTTGATATAGAATCGCACACTAAGTACAATTGAATGTAAGTAAGGTACCTAAAATAAAGGGGCGTAAAGTGTAGTTGAATTTAGACTTTTATCCCGCAATAAGTCTTCCTTTATTTATAAACCGGGCTGTGCTTCACTATCTAGGTATATATACATACGGGAGAATTCGTTCAGTCACAGACCAGCACCCGGGATGGTCCTACAATCCGTATTTTATTTTAGGCGGTGGTTCAGACTCTATTCAGAAATATCTCTGTGGCTGTTGGAGATAAGGGCTTATGTATTTCTTAAGGTATTGTCTAAACCTGGCAGCCGTTTGAAAGGCTGCGGCAAATATTCTGCCAAAGCGATCATTGACATCAACATGCTGCTTATTAAGATGACACTAGTAGCCCTAACCCTTACCGTAGATCTTCCCGCTGCTCAAGCGTGAACCGTTCTTCTTCTCTTGCTCTTGCCCTTACCTTTAGCGCATCACCACACCTGACAATCAACAAACCTCTTCTCTACGCGTTTTACTTTGCGACAAAGAGCTATATAAGCTACATACTTTAGATATCACTACACAAAACGTTCGCAGGAAGCTAGCCGACCATGTCTGACGATGGCTTCGACGATGACTTTGATGACGGTTTCGGGTTCTTCGATGATCTGGATTATCAAGATGATGACGAGCTGGTCTTTATCCCTTCACTCTCTTCATATACTACTAGACCCCCGTACATCCACCTCGTAACAGCTCAAGCTGATCCCTCCAGCGCCCATAGTCCGCCCTAGTCGACTCCATGGCCGAAACCGCATTCGCCCAGGGTGACCCCATCTGGGATGAGTTCGAAGCCGAGTACGACACGACCGAATACCACAGCGACTGGTCATACTACTCTGACGGCGGTTTCTTTAGCGATGAGGAGAAGGCCCCTGTCCCTGCCGACAATGCGGGGAAGCCGCCGACAAATGGCGGTGTCAACGCAACTACATTAGACGGTACAGGAAGGACAGAATCAAACGGAAAGACCAACAGTGCCGGTAGACCGCTTCGGAAACGCCGAAAGCTCATGGTCGTTGATGAGAGTGGTAAGAGGTTGCCCGAATCTGCGCCAATACCACCGGACCAGCAGGAACAAGCGAAGGTTACGGCGACTGTCATTGTTCCGCTGCCGCCGACACCACCGAGAAGGCTCAATGGTAGCGAGCCAAAGAAGTCGAATGGTGTGTTGAAAGAGGATGGGAAGACCATATCTTCATCTACAAGCGTTGATGGGCTCAGGGCTGCAATGAAGCGGAAACCGAGTACAGATGAGGCTGTAACCTCTCCTTAAGCTTTCTTTCTCGGGGTTGGCGGACGGATAATGGTGTTATTGATGATTACAGGGAAAAAGTTCATTTTTCATTTTTTCATTTTCATTGCAATGAAATGTCTTTACAAATAAGACAATATCCAGTGTTCAGACAAATTCATGTGTCCAACTATTCACTGAGGATATTACTCAGCTACGTGGCATTGGTGCAATTGGGGAAGACACAAGCATGCATACGAATAAAAGCTGTTGAGTAAACGTTTATGGCTCATGTCCAATTTATTAGCCACTATCAGGTACTAGGGAATCCCTGCAGATAAAAAAATAAAACAAAATACAAGTGCGTAGTATTATGTCGAAAGCTCATCAACCTCAGGCCTTAATAGCCATCCCTCCCCCACAGAAAAAAAATAAAGGAAGAAAAACCGCCATAAACTCAGATAATCATCCTATCTATCTATATCTATAAGTGCCATGCAAACAATCTCTTGAAAATGGCGCTTCCCTCGGTCTCGATGACATCTCCGTGACAAGGGATGATCTTGTCAAAATCCCACCCGGCAACTACCTTTGCACTTTGACTGAAAGAGCTCTTATCCCTTGCCGCAGCCCACCATATGAAGCGCTGTTGACCCTTCCCATGTATTCCCAAGATCATAGTCATCAACTTCCCATATACCCCAGATCCTGGGTTTTCTCCAGTCTTGGAGTACTGCTCATAGGCCGGTAGGTTGAAGACAAGGTCGGCGTTTATGAATGTCCGTGTGGGTTTATGTAAGAAAGCAAGCTCCTTATTTGCGTGTCTAATGTTTTCAAATCAGCTAAAAAGAAAGAAAAACAATCTAGGCTAGTAGACTAGCCAAACAAGGGATTAACCGTACCCGTCAAAGTACTCAACTTCAAATTCCCTCGCAAAGTCCTCTGGTAGTTTGATGCTCCTCTTGTTCTCTTTTGTGAAAATGTGATCAATTACTACATCCTCATTGCCTTGCTTTGCTCTCTTCTCACGGAGCCCCTCTGGCCCAATGACCTGCGCGTTCTGGTACGCGGCTTTCCAGGGACCCAGTTGCATATGGTGCTCAATATCAGGCGCGATGATATAGGATACATTGCCGCCGAGAGAGGTGACGGTATCGCGGGCTTCCTGGGTTAAGCTGACGGGGGAGAAGACAGCAAGGGTTCCGGTTTGTAGACGGACTGATTAATTGGCGCACGTTAGTACAAATAAATATTAGGGAGGTTGCTAAAGGCTCAAATACCAATTGTGGCCCTTCCACCAAATTTGAAACGGTTAAATCGGAGGAATGGGACAGAGAGGGTGGTGATCTGGGGAGATACACTTCGGACGACCATCGTTGCGGACATGTTTTGTTCTTTTGACATGATTGTTTTTTTGCTGGGATTGAATGAATGAGCGGGGTGTGTGGTTGTTCTTATAAGTTATGATACTGTTGCGAAGCGGTGATTTCCGTTGAGTGTCAATGACGTTGTTGTATTCAAGAGTGGGTGGTGGGGATTTTGGGCTTGCTTTATACAATCCCACGCCATTTGTATTCTTGTCCCTTACCGGTATTTCTCATTCCTAGTGAATCAAGAATGCCCTCGATATCAAAATTCCATTGCTCACACAATTACAAACAGCCCAGAACACATGTAGTGCATGGGGAAGAGGCCATGCACGCATATCGGTTCAACACGATACGCACAAGGATAGCTACGTATGTACGTAATCCGGAGCCTTCAACACGTGTTTTGGCTCGAACATTTGGAATCCACTAATGCCGTACCGATCCGCGAATTGACAGCTCCCCCTTCTCGCTTATCCTGTTACATGCCACCACCTCGCACTATTGTCGTACAACGAGGAGGTGACTAAACAACAATATCATGCTGTTAATTGTAAGCTGATCAAGTCTCGGGCCGAGCTTTCACGAGATTTGATGATGTGGATTTCTGTGCGGAGTATGGGAACACAGGATTCCAAATTTTTTGACCCTACCCGAGGTCGCCGAATCACTGGACATGACGCTTACTAACACTTCTAGAATGCTTGATAGAATTTGTAACAAATCCATGTCATTTAATTTATTTCCTGGTACTCTAGACCTCTAGGCCTCCATGAAGGCCAGGAACATCGAGGGAAGAGTACCATATATCTTCTCCCTAGTCGTTAATTTATTGTCACCATATATGAAGATGAAAGTCAAGGAGGTTTCCTTCTGGCGGGCGGAATAGCTCACAGCACGCCCTCTGTATGTAGGTACAATTGTACTCTAATCCTGTGGCTTGGTTAACGTCATAGCAATAAACTCAACCCTGAAGGCTAGAGTCCCTGTCGACTGTACCTACATACATGTATGTAGCAACGCCCTGACTAGTACAGCGTTACAGAACAGTTATACAGTATCACAGAAAAAGCCGGTGAGATCAAAGAAGTCACAATGATAGATAAGTCGACTTGACCCCATAGGTGGCATAGGTGAGTGCGTGGTCGGACAGCGTGAGAACTCGAGAGGCTGCGATACACGATATTAGAGCTGGCCAAAATAAGATCATGAAGTAGAAAGCGACGTTAATACCGGCGACGATTAGAGTACTTGAGTTACTCCCATAGGCAGAAAACGTACTGTACCTACATGTAGGTATAGTTCTTGGATATAAATTACCGTCCTCGCGCCAAAACACACGCCAAAATGGGCAACCTCCCTAACCTTCAATTCTTTATCAATTACCACAGAGCCTTCAGGATAGGGAGACACACTATAGAATAAAATATATTTCAAAGTGTAAGTTTGTTCAACAAATGTGTGGGAAGTTATGTAGCTTTGACGCAGTCTTGGTGCATTTCCTAAAAATAACCGAACAAAATCATCTACCAACAATTCTACAATGAATATTTTTGAAATTCAAGACTGTCAAGCGATTCTTCTAATAATTAAGCTATATCAAACTAATTGGTACAAGTTATATCTTAAAATGGCGGGCTCTGGAACTATTGGAAAGGTGCCGATTTCGGCGTTTTTTGGTGTGGTTTTGCTTCGCGACGGTGATTTATAGCTACTCCACATGTAAACCAAGAACTAAGATTTAACTCCTCCCTGTTAATTGATTAACTGGTTTAAAGTATTGGCCCACCTTCTTCTTCTTGAGACCGGACCGGTACACCTACCAATCACGAGAACGGTGTCGGTCAAGTATGTATAACGGAAACTGAATATCTATACCGAGCTGTGAAGGGCTTGGAACGACAAGTTTTGGTATGTTTGTGCTGCTCATATTCTATCATATCACCCATTCCACTGATAATCAACATTAATTCTGATTCTGATTATCATTCAAATCTAACTATAAGCCAAAATGCCTGTTATCGAAGAGAGGTGGAACATAAAAAGAAAATATTGGCCCTTGCTCATTTGATCCATCTCACAGCCCTACCCCGATGCTCGAGTTTCGTACTTACCTATTACCTTAATTACTGCGTAAGCTTTGGTACCAACAGCGATTTTCCTGAAGTTCTAGACTAATAAATGTTCTCGCTCTCAGCTTCTCGTTTCCCATCACGCAGCCTAGCCCTACAACAGCGCCAGTAATATTCTCGAGAGCTCTTACAACAGATGAGCTGATGTACTTCAGTTGTAGGGATATGTATATCCCGAGAGAGCCGCTGTAAATAATGTCTCGGAGAGGATAGGCTTATATCCCCGAAGTACATATTTCGCTACCAACAAGACCGCATATTGATAGTGTTCATGTTCAAGATTGAACTTTCTAACTGGATATCAGTCCCCTTTTCTTTTCAACGCAGATCTACCACCATTACTATGCCAGTCAGGAGCTCTCGAGGAGTGTCTGAGCTGGTCCTTACTTATTACCACACTGAAAGATACCTTTTGGTACCAACAAACAAACATTCTAGACCAATGTTTCTCACACTCGTTTCATGTTTGTTTATCACCGCCATGCCATGCCATGCGTTGTATGCATGCATATATTTCCGTTTGTGTGGCGGGCCAGATCTGGTGGCCGGGCGCTCATAAGAGTCTAGACCTGAGTACATGCCTATTTCTCTGAGACAAAAATAAGAATTATGAACGGCCAGGGTGGGGGTATAATGACGTTCTACTCTATGTAGCTGGAGCGTTTCAAAGGGTTTCGGATGTCTTTGCGGCCGGACAGAATGTATTTTTTGTATCCTGTCTTTAGTTTCACCACGATGGCTGAAATGATCATTTAACTGTGAGTACATGTACTTACTACAGTACCACGTACAATTGCCCCGCCTACCCTTCAAACTTTAATATTTGCCTACGGCCCAAATTAACCGCCTACCTTATTGCAATTGAATACAGTAGGCATTCGTATTTACCGATGCCTCTTCAAGACTGGTGTCCGCTGGGGACGATGTACGTACTCCTACATACATGTATTGAGTCATAATAGCCCCACATCCGAGGGGCACCATGACGGTCGATCATACCCCGTGAATTGCACACCTTTTCCCTCAGAGATCTTTCCAGAGAGCCTCGCTTGGAAGAGTAAAGGATTGAATGCCTGTACGTATTAGACATTCAACACTTTAACACTCTAGATACATCATACATGTAGAATGACGGGAGCTATGTACCTAGTTTAGGCCTCAGCGTAATTTCAAGGATGTCTTGGGTAAAAGTGCAGCTACAAGTTATATTAACCCCGCAATCCTGCCTAGTTACCCTCGTGGTAAGGAAAAGATTTAGTCCTTGAGTTATAACGGTTAGCCTGTTTTGGAACATCCGGGGTGCATTGCATGACCGGGTTCCAGACCCTCGGGTTCACCAACAATATTAAATTTTCAGAGTTTTTTTTTTGTGGAGAACGAGCACGCAACCCTAGACACGCCATGGATGATAATTGATAGAATAATTAGTATGTAGGTAAAATCTGATTAATTAAAGAGATGGCGAGCCAAAATAATAATAATAAAAAAAAGAGTCAGGCAGACAAATAAATCAAAGTATTAATGATTGATACCAACAAGCAAA